CCTGCCAGCACTACGGCGTGCGCACCTGCGAGGGCTGCAAGGGCTTCTTCAAGGTGAGCGAGCGGGTGGCCGGCACGGCGGGCACGGGGTGCTGTGGGAATGCTGGGCACCAGGACGATGCCGGGATGCCATGGGAATGCTGAGGGGATGCTGGACCTGGGGATGCTGGAGGGGGAATTGTGGGGTGCTGTGGGGATGGGGGGATGCTCTGAGGTTCCTGCAGGGATGCCGGATGCAAGGATGCTGGAGGGATGCTCCAGGGATGCAGGGATGCTGTAGGGATGCTCCAGGGATGAGGGATGCAGGGATGCTCTGAGGTTCCTGCAGGGATGCCGGATGCAAGGATGCTGGAGGGATGCTGAGGGCATGTTGGGCACTGGGATGCTGCAGGGATGCAGGGATGCCATGAGGTTTGTGCCAGGGATGCAGGGTGCAGTGATGCCAGCTGCAGGGAGGCTGTAGGGATGCTGCGAGGATGCCACAGGCATGCCGGGCACTGGGATGCTGTGGGAATGCAGGACGCAGGGAGGTTAGGAGAATGCCGTGGGGACGCCAAGCACTGGCCGCTGCCAGGATGCCGGCCGTGGAGCCGCCGGGCAGCGGGCACAATCCCGGCACAATCCCGGATGCCGCGGCGGAAGCGCCGGCGGGAGGGGGACACAGAGGGGCTCTGTGTGCAGCGGGTGCCGCGTGCCGAGCCCGCTCGCCACCCGCAGCGCACCGTGCAGAAGAACGCCAAGTACATCTGCCTGGCCAACAAGGACTGCCCCGTGGACAAGCGGCGCCGCAACCGCTGCCAGTTCTGCCGCTTCCAGAAGTGCCTGGCCGTGGGAATGGTCAAGGAAGGTACGGGGGGGACGCGGGGGCCGGGAGCGGCGCCCGGGCCGGACCCCAGCACTGACGCTGCCGCCCGCCGCAGTGGTGCGGACCGACAGCCTGAAGGGGCGCCGGGGCCGGCTGCCCTCGAAGCCGAAGCAGGCGCAGGACGCGGCGCCCGTCAGCCTCATCACGTCGCTGGTGCGCGCGCACATGGACTCCGTGCCCAGCGCCACCAAGCTCGACTACTCCAAGGTGGGACGGGCGGCGGCAGCGGCGGCAGCGGCACCGTGGGGCGCCCGGCGGGCGCTGACGCCGCGGCGGCAGTTCCAGGAGTCGGCGCCGTGCCGCTTCGAGAAGGAGGACTCGGTGGACGTGCAGCAGTTCTACGACCTGCTCACGGGCTCCATGGACGTGATCCGCAAGTGGGCCGAGAAGATCCAGGGCTTCGCCGAGCTGCCCCGCGAGGACCAGGACCTGCTGCTCGAGTCCGCCTTCCTGGAGCTCTTCATCCTGCGCCTTGCCTATCGGTGAGGAGGCGGCGGGGACGCGGCGGGGACCCGCTGGGGACGCTGCTGACGCGGCCCCGCTCTGCCCGCAGCTCCAAGCCCGAGGAGGGCAAGCTCATCTTCTGCAACGGCGTCGTGCTGCACCGGCTGCAGTGCGTGCGCGGCTTCGGCGACTGGATCGACGCCATCCTGGAGTTCTCGCAGAGCCTGCACCGCCTCAACGTCGACGTGCCCTCCTTCTCCTGCCTCGCCGCCCTCGTCATCATCACGGGTGAGCGAGGGGGGGCCCGCGGTGCTGCCTTGGTCCTGTTCCCCGCCACCACGCAGCATTGGGCCTTGTCCCCTCCATCGCACATGTCCCCACCGCACTGGTGCATTCGTGTCCCCTTCAGGCTCTTGCATCGTTCCCTGCCATGCTGGCACCATTGCATTTGTCCCCGCCATGCCATTGTCCCAGTCCCTGTCCCCACCATGCCACTGCTCTGCTCCCTGTCCCTGCTGCACCATTGCACAAGTCCCAACCATTGCATTTGTCCCCACCATGCCATTGCCCCGGTCCCTGTCCCCACCATGCCATTGCACTGGTCCCTGTCCCTGCTGCACCAGTCCCAGCCTTGGTGTCACCACTGCATCGGTCTTGGTGTCACCGTTGCACAGGTCCTTGTCCCTGCCATGCCCCTGCGCAGGTCCCTTGTCCCCACCCCGCCATTGCCCCAGTCCCTGTCCCCATCATGTCCTTGCACAGGTCCCTGTCCCCACCATCCCATTGCCCCCATCCTTGTCCCCACCATGCCCTTGCATCAGGTCCCTGTCCCCACCATCCCATTCCCCCTGTCCCTGTCCCCACTATGTCCTTGCACAGATCCCTGTCCCCACCATCCCATTGTCCCTGTCCCCACCATCCCATTGCCCCCGTCCCTGTCCTCACCATCCCATTGTCCCTGTCCCTGCCATCCCATTGCCCCCCTCCCTGTCCCCACCATGCCCTTGCATCAGGTCCCTGTCCCCACCATCCCATTGCCCCAGTCCCTGTCCCCACCATCCCATTCCCCCTGTCCCTGTCCCCACCATGCCCTTGCACAGATCCCTGTCCCCACCATCCCATTGCCCCCGTCCCTGTCTCCTCGCCGCCTGTCCCCCCGCTGCCTGCCCGCACTGCGCCGCCGCGGTGCCCCCTCGCCATGGGCGTCACGGGCGCCCGCGCCTCACTCGCCCGGGGCTCTCCCCACGGCAGAGCGCCACGGGCTGAAGGAGCCGCGGCGCGTGGAGGAGCTGCAGAACCGCATCGTGGGCTGCCTCAAGGAGCACGCGGCGGCGGCGGCGGCAGCACCCGAGGGCGCCCGCGCCGGCGCCCTCTCCAAGCTGCTGGGCAAGCTGCCCGAGCTGCGCACGCTCTGCACGCAGGGGCTGCAGCGCATCTTCTACCTCAAGCTCGAGGACCTGGTGCCGCCGCCCCCGCTCGTCGACAAGATCTTCATGGACACGCTGCCCTTCTAGGGGCCGCCCCCATTGCCCCCCCGCCCACCCCCGGTGCCTTCGCCCCCTGTACAAACCCCCCGCCTTGTAAATACAGCGCCCGGCCCTGTACATAGTGCGGGAGAGGTGGGGGGGGGCGGTGACACCCCCCCCTCCGGCCTCTCCCTCCTTTTATTTTTGTTCTTTTTTTTTTGGCCTTTTTTTCTGTATATAAACTTGTACGTAAAACTTGAGAGCGCCCCAAAACAGGAGGTTTCCATTAGCGACCCCCCCGCCCCGATGCCCCCCCCCAATCCCCGATCCCCGTGTCTCTATTTAAGGCAGGCTGTGGGGGGGCGCCGGCGGCTCCGGTTGCAGCGCTGGGGACACCGCGGGGACACCGCGGGGACACACGTCGCCCACGGAGCGGCCCCGCCGCCCTTGACCCCCCGCCCGCCCGCACCTGTCGCCCGCCTGATTTATCTGCCCCAAAATAACCCGCGGGGGGGTCACCATCCCCCTCACCCCCCCCTGGGCTCCGTGCACCGAGGCCACGGTGCCCTGCGCAGCGCGGGACGGGGACATGTCACCGTGCAAGGCCACGGTGCCCCATGCAATGTGGGACGGGGACACGTCACTGTGCCAGGTCCCCAGCACCCCATGCAATGTGGAATGGGGACATGTCACTGTGCAAGGTCCCCAGTACCCCATGCAATGTGGGACGAGGACATGTCACTGTGCAAGGTCCCCAGTACCCCATGCAATACGCGACAGGGACATGTCACTGTGCAAGGTCCCCAGTGTCCCGTGCAGCACAGGATCAGGATATGTCACTTCCCAAGGTCCCCAGTACCCCATGCAATATGAGATGGGGACGTGTCACTGCACAAGGTCCCCAGCGTCCCATGCAGTGCAAAACAGGGACATGTCACTGTGCCAGGTCCCCAGCACCCCATGCAATGTGGAATGGGGACATGTCACCGTGCAAGGTCCCCAGCACCCCATGCAATGTGGGACGTGGACATGTCACCATGCAAGGTCCCCAGTGTCCCGTGCAGCACAGGATCGGGATATGTCACTGCACAAGGTCCCCAGTACCCCATGCATTGTGGGATGGGGACGTGTCACTGTGCAATGTCCCCAGTGTCCCGTGCAGCATGGGATGGGGATAGGTCACTGCACAAGGTCCCCAGCACCCCATGCAATATGGGACGGGGACATGTCACCGTGCAGAGTGCCCAGCGCCCCATGCAGTGCAAAACAGGGACATGTCACCACGCATGGCCGTTGGCACCCCATGCAATGCAGGACGTGGGCATGTCACCATGCAAGGTCCCCGGCGCAATGCAGGACAGGGACGTGCCACCATGCAAAGCCCCTGTCACTGTGCAATGCCTTTGCAATGCTGGCACAGGGGAGAGGAGCTGGGGACATGGTGGGGGGGCACATGGCGCGGTCCCTCTGCCCCAGGGCTGTCCCCTTCCTGCTGCCAGGGCCACCTTGGCCGTGGCACAACCGCAGCCGGAGCCGCCCGGGGCCGGGGCGGAACAAGGGGCGCATTGAGGGCGGCAGGACGGCCCGCGGCCCCGCGCCGGGCGCACAACAAGGCGCCTCTGTCCCCGGCGTCCCCGGTGTCCCCAGCCCCGCACAATGGTCAAAGGGGGGTGACGCAGGCGGGCGGCTCCCGCGTGCCGGGCGCGCTTCCCTGCGGGGGCCGGCATGGCCCTGCTGCGAGGCGCCGTGCGGGGACAGGGACATTGCATGGGGACAGTGTATGGGGACACTGCACGAGGCATGGGGGTTGCAAGGGGACCTTGCACCAGGACAGGGACATTGCATGGGGACATTGCATGGGGCAGGAGGGCTGCAAGGGGCCCTGCACCAGATCAGGGACATTGCGTGGGGACCTTGCACCAGGACAGGGATGTTGCATGGGGACTCTGCACGAGGCATGGGGACTGCAAGGGGGTGTTGCACTGGGACAGGGACATTTCATGGGGACATTGCATGGAGGGCAGGGCTGCAGGGGGACCTTGCACCAGGACAGGGATGTTGCATGGGGACACTGCACAGGGACATTGCACAGGGACATTGAACAGGGACCCTGCACAAGGCTGGGAAAAATAACTGCGGGGACGCGGCCCTCTGTCCCCATAGCCCCCGTGTCCCTCTGCGTTCCTGTCCCTCGTGGGCACGAAACCTCCGTGGCTCCACGTTGCCCGTGTCCCTCTGTCGCCCAGGGTCTCCAGACCTGTGTCCCCCTGTCCTGTTCCCCCATGTGCCAGTGTCCCCTATCCCATCCCAGGTGCTGCACGGCCATGTCCCCTGTGGCATGTCCTCACGGCCACGCCCCTTCCCCACCGTGTCCCGTCCCTTGTCCCCCTGTCCCCAACACCTGCCTTGTGTCCCCCCATGTCCCCAATACCTGTCCTGTGTCCCCCTGTCCCCAATAACTGCCCTGTGTCCTCCTGTCCCCCTACCTGTCCTGTGTCCCTCCGTCCCCCCCTGTCCCCAATGCTTATCCTGTGTCCCCCCATGTCCCCAATACCTCTCCTGTGTCCCCCTGTCCCCAACACCTGTCTTGTGTCCCCCCCTGTCCCCAATGCCTATCCTGTGTCCCCCCATGTCCCCAATAACTGCCCTGTGTCCCCCCATGTCCCCAATAACTGTCCTGTGTCCCCCTATGTCCCCAATATCTGTCCCGTGTCCCCACGCCCCGCCCTCGACTCCACGCCCCGCCCCCTTGTCCCTCCCGGGCCCCGCCCCCCGTGGCCCGGGGTTCACTAGCGGTCACCGCCCCCCTCCCCCGCCCCCGCGCGGTCCTCCAGCCCAGGGGGCGGGACGCGCCCGCCCTCACTCCCTCCCGGAAGTGGGGCTCTCTGCGCCGCGGGCACCTCAGCTCTATGGTCGCTCCTTCCGGGACGAACCAAGCGGGCGCCGCCGGCGGGGGGAGCTCCCGGGGACGGTTTCCGCGGCCGGGACCGCACCGAGGCCCGGACCGGAATTAACCGGGCCTCAAACCCACGATAAAAGAGTCTGGGGGGGCGTAAAGGCGGCTGGAGGGGGCGCGAACCCCCCTGCGAGTACCGCCTCTCCGTGTTCCCCCCCTTCCCCCTTCCGGTGGGCTGTCCCTCCCCCCCCTCCCCGTTCCGCTCGGACGGGCAGTTCCGGGCAGCGAGTGCGGGCGGAGCCGGTGAGGGCCGGGACGCCTGGGCCCCCCGGCGGGGGGGGGGGACCCGGGGAGTCCTCGGGGAGGGTCCCGGGACGCCTGGGCCCCTTGGGGAGGGGTCTGAGGGAGGGGGCAGGGGCGTCAGGGCCCATTGGTTGGGTGTGGGGGGGGGGCCGGGACGCCTGGGCCCCTGGGGAGGAGCATGGGGGGGGATCAGGACACCTGGGCCCTTTGGGGGGGAGCTTGGGGGGGGGCGGGACCCCTGGGCCCCTGGGGAGGGGTCTGGGAGCAGCTGGGACCCCGGGACCCTTGCGGGGGAGCTGGGGTGGGGGGCAGCACTACTGGGTTCCTTTGGGGGGGGCAGTTCATCAGGGTCCCCTGCAGGGGGGAGGCCGCCGGAGCAGGACCCTGGGTGGGGGGGGGCCACCCACATCCCCATAGGGCACAGGAGGGCCCGGACGCCTGGGCCCCCAGCGCGCCGTGTCGCCCCCGCAGCGGCGGGCGCCGCCATGAACTGCCGCGCGGAGGTGCTGGAGGTGTCGGTGGAGGCGCGGCAGGTGGAGGAGGCGGCGCTGGCCGTGCTGCACACCGTGCTGCTGCACCGCAGCACCGGCAAGTTCCACTACAAGAAGGAGGGCACCTACTCCATCGGCACCGTGGGCACGCACGACGTGGACTGCGACTTCATCGACTTCGCCTACGTGCGCGTCTCCTCCGAGGAGCTGGACCGGGCGCTGCGCAAGGCGGTCGGCGAGTTCAAGGTGAGGGGCGGCAGCGCCGGGGGCAGAGCCCTGGCGCGGGCGCCCAGCGGGGCCGCGCGGGCTCCTGCTTTGGGCATGCGCACATCCCGGCTGGATGCGGCCGGGTGCCACCCTGTGCCACGTGCTCCGGGTGCCACCCCGTGCCACGTGCTCCGGGTGTCCCCTGGGGTCACGTGTCCCAGGTGTCCCCCTGTGCCACGTGCTCCGGGTGCCACCCCGTGCCACGTTCTCTGGGTGTCCCCTGGTGTCAAGTGCTGTAGGTGTCCCCTTGTACCACATGCTGTGGGTGCCACCTTGCACCACCGGTGTCCCCTGGGGTCACGTGTTCCAGGTGCCCCCTTGTGCCACATGCTGTGGGTGCCACCCAGTGCCACGTGCTCAGGTGTCCCCCGGGGCTCCCTGCTCCAGGTGCCCCCTGTGCCCCATGATCCGGTGCCCCCCGTGCCCCACACTTGGCCGTCCCTGCCTGAGGAGGCCGCTTGCACTCGCTGCCCCATTGAGCTCCGCGGTGCCCTCGAGCAGCCAGCACTGCGGTGCCGTCCCCGCGGTGGCTCCGCGGTGGCCTCGCTGAGCGCGGTGCCCCCGGCAGGACGCGCTGCGCGGCTCGGGCAGCGACGGCGTGGGGCAGATCTCCCTGGAGTTCTACCAGAAGAAGAAGTCGCGCTGGCCCTTCTCCGACGAGTGCATCCCCTGGGAGCTGTGGACCATCAAGGTGAACGTGGTGAACCTGGCCACCGAGCAGGAGCGGCAGATCTGCCGCGAGAAGGTGGGCGAGAAGCTCTGCGAGAAGATCATCAACATCGTGGAGGTGATGAACCGCCACGAGTACCTGCCCAAGATGCCCACGCAGTCCGAGGTGGACAACGTCTTCGACACCAGCCTCAAGGACGTGCAGCCCTACCTGTACAAGATCTCCTACCAGATCACGGACTCGCTGGGCGCCTCGGTCACCACCACCATGCGGCGGCTCATCAAGGACACGCTGGCCCTGTAGAGCCGCGCGCGGGGACCCAGCCCGCGGCGCTGCCCGCCGCCCTGCCTCCTGGCGCCGCTTTCTCCGCTTGGCTCCTTCCTCCCTCTCCGAAGAGCCTCGGCCGGGAGCGGGACGGGGCCTGTCCCTCGCGTGGATGAGGCGCCCCTGGCCGCCCGTGTCCCGTGGAAGCGGCTCTGATGGGAGATGCCACTCAGCGGCGCCTCGGAGCGGGACCTCGTGTCTGGGATATGGCCGTGGCCTCGCTGGGAGCCGCGGGATCAAATCCCCCCTTCCTGGCAGGAGCGACGTCCCCGCGCCCTGGGCACGGCCTCGGCCCTGGTGCCCGCGAGGAGAACCCTGTGCTGGAGCAAGCGACGCTCCAAGGGCGCTTGTGTCCCCTCCTCGTGCCCTGCCCGCCCGGAGCTGCTCTTCCCGCTGGGCTGGGACCCGGAGCCGGGCGCTCAGGAGCCAGGACCCTCCGTGTGCAGGGCGCAGCGCCCGCGTCCGTCCTGCCGCATGAGGCACCGGGGACCCCCCGGGACGCGCGCGGGGGCTCCTTGGGGGCCACAATAAAGCATTTCCAGACACCCGCCTCCTGTCGCGTCCTAGTTGGGTCCAAGGGGCACAGGAGGGAGGCACGAGCGGGGACCACTCCGGTGCTCCGGGGGCTCCGCACCGGGCATTCTCCTGCCGGAAAAGCCCCCAGGGAGGCGTCTCCCGGCGCAGCTAAGACGCTCCCTGACATCACTTAAACCCTCCCCGTCTGTTGCCGAAGCCGCCGCTGCCACCCCGCGCGGCGCCACTCGCCTCCCCGACGAGGAGGAGGAGGATGAACAGCACGGCGGCGGCGCCGCGCACCCTGGCCGCGGGCGCCTGCTGCTCGCTGGCGCCGGCCGGCGGGGCCGCGCGGGCCGAGGCGGCGGCGCCGCCGCTCGCCAAGGCGGCGCAGATCGCCGTGCTCTGCGTGCTCTGCCTCACCGTCGCCTGCGGCATCCTCTTCCTCGGCTGCAACCTGCTGCTCAAGGTGGAGAGCCTGGCGGCGCAGCTGGCGCCGGAGCGGCGCCTGTCGCGCGACGCCGACCTGGGGGCCGAGGGCACCTAGCGCCGCGGACGGAGCCCCGGCCGCCTCCCCGGACGCACTGCAAGGCAACGGACAGGCGGGGGGCGCGACGGGACTTTGGGGACCACCGCAATGTGACAGCGTCACCCCCTTGCCGGGCCCCGCACCCGGCAGGGCGACGATCCGGCCCGTCCTGCGTCGCCTCGGGGGGTTTCGGGGAGCCCCCCCCCGCCGCCGGACACCCCCGGGCGGCGCCGTCACCCCGGCCGCGGCGGCCCGGCCCGCGCGGCGGCGCCGCTAATCCCGCCAAGAGGATTACGGGAAACTTTTATTCCCTGTTTTACAGCTAATCCCCGCGGGCTGCTGGCTGCCCGGCAGCTTCTCGCGGCTCCGCGCCCGCCGGGGGGGCCGCGGCCGCATCCTGCCCCGCGATCCCGCCATCCCGCCATCCCGCGCGTCCCGCCCGCTCGCCTCCACTCCGAGCCATCCCTTTGGGCTCTGCGGACAGGGATCCCGGGGCCGCATCCGGAGCGTTGGAGCCCCCCTGCGCACGGGCATTCCCGGACAATTCCGGCCCCTCGCAGCGCTTTTTCCCCTGCTCCTGGTAATTCCACGGCCAGATCTCGCCCCTTTCCCCCCCCTCCACCGCTCTGTTCCGGAGGAAAGTGCAGCCCGGTGCCCCCCCAGCCGTGGCCCCTGCGACCCCCCTCCTAATCCCCAGCTTTTCTCCCGCAAAACCTGCTTAAGGGCCTGATTCCTTGCGTCCCCCCCGCGCATCCCGGCAGGGTGACGCCCCATGGGGACGGGGACGGCGCCGCCATCCCCCCGCTTGCATCCCCGGCTCGCTGTCCCCATATGTCCCCCCCCGGGCGCAGAGAGGCCACGCTGCGTATAATATTCCATATATTTCACATGTACAAAAAGTTACACCTAGCGCCGACTACGGGGGAGCGGGGCTGGGGAGGGGGTCCGGGGCGTGTGGGGGGGCGCATCCTGAACCCCCCCCATCCCATCCCGGCTTTGGTCCCTTTTCCTTTGGCCATTAGTGTTCCCGGCGGCGGCCGGAGCCCCACGCAGCTGCAGCGGCCGCTTTTCCGGTGTCGGCTCCGGACCGGGAGCGGCGGGTCCCTCCGGGACAACGGCGGCTGCGGGGCCGGGGCGGGGGGCCGGGGATGTTCCCCCCCCCCCGCCCTTGCTGGGCGGCTACAGGCGGACGGGCCTGTGGGCTGGGGGGGACAAGTGTGAGACAGAGCCGGGATCTAGGGGGGGTTCTCCCTGGTGGATTAATTCCGGGCATGTGGCCCATCCCGCTATCCCGACCTGGCACCCGGCATCGCGCCAGGACCTGGTTTTGCACCGGCATCCTGTGCCGGGAGCCCAGATTGCAGCAAGATCTGGGCTGGGAATCTAAATTGCACCAAGATCTGTGCTGGGGTGGGGTGCAAATTACAACAGGATCCCATAGCAGGAGCCCAATTGCACCGGGATCCCATGCTGGGGGTCTAAATTGCACCCAAATCTGTGCTGGGAGCCCAAATTGCACCGGGATCCCATGCTGGGGGTCTAAATTGCACCCAAATCTGTGCTGGGAGCCCAAATTGCACCGGGATCCCATGCTGGGGGTCTAAATTGCACCCAAATCTGTGCTGGGAGCCCAAATTGCACCGGGATCCCATGCTGGGGGTCTAAATTGCACCCAAATCTGTGCTGGGAGCCCAAATTGCACCGGGATCCCATGCTGGGGGTCTAAATTGCACCCAAATCTGTGCTGGGAGCCCAAATTGCACCGGGATCCCATGCTGGGGGTCTAAATTGCACCCAAATCTGTGCTGGGAGCCCAAATTGCACCGGGATCCCATGCTGGGGGTCTAAATTGCACCCAAATCTGTGCTGGGAGCCCAAATTGCACCGGGATCCCCAAACCGCACCAAGACCCCCGTGCCGGGACCCCACTCAGCCCCACAGGAGAGCGCAGAAGCAGAACCGTGGGGCGTGCAGGGGGATGTTGGGGACGTGCAGGGGGGTTGGGGACGTGCAGGGGACATTGGGGACATGCAGGGGGGTTGGGGACATGTAGGGGGGTGGGGGGGCCACGTGCCCCATGCCGGCCCTACCTCAGGGCTAACAGTTGGACTCGTCGTGGTGGGCCGGGTCGCAGAAGAAGCGCGAGCCCCGCTTGGCCGTGCGGGCCGTGAAGGGGACGCTCTTGAGCGCTGCGGGGACAGGGTGGGGACACGGTGGCCGCGGCGGCCACAGGGACGCCTGCGGGAGCTCGGTCCCGGCGGGGCCCAGGCGTCCGGGCGGCGGTGGCGGGGAGCGGGGGCCGTACCGGTGATGATGTCCTCGATGGTGCCGTCCTTGCCCTCGTAGACAGGCCGGTGGTCCTTGGCCTGGCGCCGCCGCAGCTCCGCGATCAGCTCCTGCTGCTGCCACTTGTTGCGCTGCGAAAGGCACGAGGGGCGGCCCGGGGAGGGACATGTGTCCCCTGTGTCCCCCCTGTGCCCCCCACGCTGCGGGGACCTCTGCCCCGTCCTCACCTTCTCCATCTTCTTGGCCTCCTGCGCCAGCATCTTCTCCCGCATCACCTCCTCCTGCTTCTTCCGCGTCTCATTCTCCTGCTCCGCGTCCTGTGGGATGGGGATCAGGGGGCGGAGGTGTCACCAACGGGAGGTTTGGGGCTTCCCTGCCCTTCCGCAGCCACCAGCCCTTGTCACCTTGTAGGAGCGGATGAAGCGGACGAAGACGGGGAAGAACACGGACGGGGGGGTTGTCTTGGGGCTCTCGCCGAAATACCGCACCACTGTGTTGTAGGCGTCCTGGCCGGGCGCACGGGGACATCAGCGCTGTGTCCCCAAGCGCCGTGAGGCCCGGGGACGTGCAGGGAGCCACACGGGCAAAGCCAGCGGTGCAGCTCAAGGTGTGCGTGGCGAGCGCGCTGCTGCGCGTGCAAGGCGAGGCATGCACGAGGGTGCAAAAGCAAGGGGTGCATGAGGGCTGTGCAAAGGGAGGGCTGCACAAGAGGTTTGTAAAGGAAAGGGTGCACAGGGAGTGTGCAAATCCAGGGATGCACGAGGGGTGTGCAAAGCACGGGTGCAGGAATAGACCTGCATTGCGAGTGCAATAGGGGGTGTGTATGAAGAGTGTGAAAGCAAAGGGTGCACAAAGGGTGCACAAAAGCAGGGTTGCATGAGACCAGCGCAGAGCACGGGTGCAAACTAAGGCCTGCACTGTGGGTGCAACACAGGCGTGCAAAAACAGGGCTGCACGAGGCTTGTGCAAAGCACAAGGGTGCAATACTTGGCATGCATGAGGAGTGCAATAGGGGGTGTGCACGAAGAGTGTGCAAGCAAAGGGTGCACAAAGGGTGCACAAAAGCAGGATTGCATGAGACCAGTGCAAAGCATGGCTGCAAACCAAGGCCTGCACTGTGGGTACAAACCAAGTCTGCACTGTTGGTGCAACGCAGGCATGCAAAACCAGGGCTGCATAAGGCGCATGCAAAGCATGAGGGTGCAATACTCGGCATGCATGACGAGTGCAAGAGCGGGTGTGCAAGCAAAGGGTGCACAAAGGGTGCACAAAAGCAGGGTTGCACAAGACTAGTGCAAAGCAGGGGTGCAACCCAACGCTTGCACTGTGGGTGCAACACAGACGTGCCAAACCAGGGCTGCACTAAGCACGTGCAAAGCACGAGGGTGCAATACTCGGCATGCATTATGAGTGCAATAGGAGGTGTGCAAGCAAAGGGCGCACAAAAGCAGGATTGCACGAGACCAGCGCAGAGCACGGGTGCAACCCAAGGCCTACGCTGCGGGTGCAACACAGGCGTGCCAAACCAGGGCTGCACGAGGCGGGCGCGACGCCCGGCACCCTCACCTCGGCCGTCCGCGCGTCCTTCTGCAGCCGCTCCAGCTTGCCCTCGCTGGCGGCCAGGAAGGCGCGCAGCACGCCGTGCTCGTGCAGCGCGCACTCGCGCCGCAGCAGCTCCATGCCGCGGCCCAGCTCCTTCACGTCCAGCAGCACGTTCTCCAGGGACACTGCGGCAGGAGGCCCGGCCGCGGCGTCAGCGGCGCCGGGTTGGGGACTGCAAAGGGGGGCTGCAGGGACCCAGGGGCGCCCGTCACCTGCGGCCGCCTTCTCCACAAAGTGCAGCTCCTGCCAGAACGTCGCCAGCTCCGGGTACTTCTCCCGCACCGTGAGCGCGATGAAGTGTAGCAGCGTCAGCTTGCGGTCCGTCGACTTGGTGTCCAGGAGCTGCCGTGGGACGGGGGCAATTTGGGGGGGGTCCCTGCTGCAGGAAGGCACCCCCCAGGTGCAGGAACACAGCGACGTGGGGACCCGGCCCGGCAGTGCTCACCAGGTCCAGGCTCTGCAGCTTGAAGCCATAGACGGCGCCGCGTTTGCTGCTGTTCATGTAGTTGCCCAGAGCCAGGATGATCTGCAAGGAGGGTGTTGGGGGGAAACGGGGCTCAGGGTGGCACGAGCGTCCCCGGGATGGCGACAGGGTTGCCCCCCGCCCGGCTGGTCCCTGCTGCCCTCACCTCCAGCATGTGCTTCAGCTTCTGTGAGGACTTGACGGAGGCGGAGGCGGCGATGATAGCGTTGAGTTGCTGCAGGGGCACCGACCAGGTGGGTGGGCAGCTCGGGGTGGGGGGGGTGTCCCCATCTCCTGGTGCCCCCCCGGCCCCAGCTGCAGCCCTACCGGCGTCAGCATCTGCACGTTCTCGGCGAAGTTGCCCAGGAAGGCCATGATGGCCATGCGCTGCGGCAGCCGCTCCACCTTGCAGAAGTGCAGCATGAAGCGGTCCTCGGCGGCCAGCTCCTCGAGGGGCTTGCGCTCGCGCTCGTACTGCCGCAGCGCCTTCGCCTCCGCCTCCGTGGGCACGAAGCGCATCAGGCACTCCACGAAGTCCACGGGCAGCGTGGCCAGGTCGAACCTGCGGGCCCCCGGCGCCTTCTGCACCCCATTGACCCCCCTGCACCCCCTTGGGCACCCAACAGCCCCCCTGCACCACCCTGGCCTCTCGGGACGCCGCTTGGCCCCGCCAGGTCCCTTGGTGGCCTTGCACATTGTGTCCTGAACTCCTTCCCCCCCGCACCCATTTCATCTAATATGATCCCACTGAGTTCCCCAAACCCAGCCCATCCAGGCCCAATGCAACCCAGTTTACCCTATTCCAGCCAAACCAGCCCAGCCTGTCCCATTGCACCCCCAGTTCCCCCATTCCAGCCCAACTTGCCCCGGTGCACCCCAATTTCCCCCATTCCAGCCCAACCAGCTCCAATTCCCTCAGTCCCAGCCTGTCCAGCCCCAGTGCACCCCAGTTCCCACCATTCCAGCTGATCCAGACCCAGTGCACCCCAGTTTATCTCCATTCCAGCTCAACCAGCCCCAGCGCATCCTGGTTCCCCCATCCCATCCCAACACTTCCCATTGCACTCCTGCTCCCTCTTTCCAACTCCATTGCATCCCAGTTACCCTAGTCTATCCCATTCCATCCCATTCCAGTCCCATTGTATCCCAGTTCCCCATTCCAGCCCCATTCCACCCTAGTTCCCCCATCCCAGTCCAGTTGCACCCCAGTTCCCCATTCCAGCCCAGTTGCACCCCAGTTCCCCCTCCCATTCCATTGCACCCCAGTTCCCCCATCCCATCACCTCCCAGCCCATTGCACCCCAGTTCCCCCATCCCATCCCATCCCATCCCATCCCATCCCATCCCATCCCATTGCACCCCACTTCCCCCATCCCATCCCATCCCGTCCCGTCCCGTCCTGTCCCGTCCCGTCCCATCCCATTGCACCCCAGTGACCCCATCCCATCCCATCCCATCCCATTGCAACCCAGTTCCTCCATCCCATCCCATTGTACCCCAGTTCCCCATCTCATCCCCTCCCATCCCATTGCACCCCAGTTCCCCTCATCCCATCCCGTCCCATCCCAGTTCCCCCATCCCATCCCACCCCCTCCCATCCCATCCCGTCCCACCCCATTGCACCCAGCTCCACACGCCGCCCCGCGGCACCCACGTGTGGATGGCCCTGCAGATCTCCTCGGCGCTGCGGCCGGCCTTGCGCAGCGTGATGGCCAAGTTCTTGGCCCGGTTGGCCTCCAGCAGCGTCACCTTGCTGGCCGCCTTGTGCGCCGCCTTGCTCTTGGCGCACACGAGGTCGAGCGCCGGCCCCTGCGCCTTGGTCTTGAAGAGCTCCTCAAAGCGCTCCAAGTCCAGGTCCTGGAACGGCCACGTGCGTTTGGGAGCCGGGAAGGCCGCGGAGCGCGGCCGCCCGCGCCGGCGTGGCCGCCCCGCGCTCACCTCCAGCACCCGCTCGTCGTCCAGCTCGCTGAACACCGTCCCGCTGATCTGGTTGGGCTTCAGCGCCGTCCAGTTGAAGACGGGCAGGCGGAACTTGGTCTTGATGGGCTTCTTGATGCGGATGGCTGGGAGCGGGGATGCAGCCAGCTCAGCCCACGGCGGCGTGTGGGACATGTCCCTGCATCCTTCCCTTGGCCATCCCAACCCTTCCATCCATGCAACTCATCTGTAGGACCCCTCATCCCCATCCCCATCCCTGCACCCTTCCCAACCCTCCCCTCCGTGCAACTCATCCGCAAGACGACCTATCCCCATCCCTTGGCCATCCCAGCCTTCCCATCCATGCAACCCATCTGCAGGACACCCCATCCCAGCGCCCTTCCCTTGGCCATCACAGCCTTCCCATCCATGCAACCCTTGCATGGATCACCCCTTCCTAATCCTTGCGCCTTTCCCTTGCCAATCCCAGCTCTCCCATCCATGCAACTCCTTCTTAGGGCACCCCATCCCAGAGTCCTTCCCTTGGCCATCCCAACCTTCTCATCCACGCAACCCTTGCATGGATCACCTCTTCCCCATCCCAGCACCCTTCCCTTGACCATCCCAACCTTTCCATCCATGCAACCCTGGCCTCCTCCCCATCCTTTCCCCATGCCCATCCCATCCCCATCCCCATCCCCATCCCATCCCATCCCCATCCCATTCCCATCCCCATCCCATCCCCATCCCCATCCCCATTCCCATCCCATCCTATCCCATCCCATCCCATCCCATCCCATCCCCTCTCCTCCTACCGGAGAGCCCCACGGTGAGGGCGATGGAGGGCGAAGCCCCCGGCAGCGGCGGGGCCGGGGGGCACTTGCCTGTCGGGTGACACAGTGCCATCAGAGCCGGGTGGTGGCACCCAGGGGGACACCCCACACCCGGGACCACCCCGGGGATGCCGTGCGGCCAGCGGGGGGGGGCTCCCGGTGCTCACCGGGCAGCGGGGGCGCGGGGGGCGGCGGCCGCGGGGGGGGCGCTCCGGCCCGTCCTGGCCCTCC